TGATAAGATAAAACTGATTTTGGCAATCACATACCCTCCAAGAAAATAGAGGGTGGGTGGGCGGGGCTAGTATTTGATAAGATCAAACTGATTTTGGCACTTTTAACATTTTCGACCATTTTTCAACTATTTTCCACTCCTACACAACAGCAGAACATAATTAGCCCCGCCCACCCACCCTGTCTCGACTTCAGTGATTGATTTTATCCAATTTGATAGTTCTACTGAACACGAATCGAATTAGTCGTTAGATTGAGAAGAGGTGGGGGGGGGGGCTCGTACTTGCTAAGGTAATACTGATTTTGGCAAATCATATACCCTCCAAGAAAATAGAAGGTGGGTGGGCGGGGCTAGTATTTGATAAGATGAAACTGATTTTGGCAAATCACATACTCTCCAAGAAAATGGAGGGTGGGTGGGCGGGGCTAGTATTTGATAAGATAAAACTGATTTTGGGGCTTTGACATTTTCGACCATTTTTCAACTATTTTCGAACATTAGTTAGACATTTTCGTGTAGATTTTGATGTCCAGAAGTCATTTTCAGCTTCATTTGTGCGGAAATTCCTACCTTTTTTCCAAAATCCACAATTTTTACATTCCGTCAAAATAGCTCAGTATAAAAATTTTGTACATAAAAAAGGAAACCATTATTAATGTTTGTTTCACAAAATACAATTATTTTAAGAATGTATTTTGTGGTTTTTATATATTCACAGAAATGTTTAAAATTTGTTTATTTGAGACAATAGAAAAGTCAGAAGAAAAAATTACGAATACCATTTTTTTTTAACTTTTTTCACATTCTTTTTCCACTCCCACTCAACAGAAGAACATAATTAGCCCCGCCCACAGTGATTGATTTTATCCGATCTGAGTGAAATGAATATTCTTATAGTAAAAAGAAATACAATTAGTCGTTAGAATGAGAAGAGGGGGGTGGGTGGGTGGGGCTAATATTTGCTAAGATGAGACTGATTTTGGCAAATCACATACCCTCCAGGAAAATAGAGGGTGGGTGGGCGGGGCTAGTATTTAATAAGATAAAACTGAGTTTGGCACTTTTGACATTGTCTTGTAGATTTCGATATCCAGAAGTCATTTTTGGCTTCGCTGCTTCGGAAATTTCTACCGTTTTTCCAAAATCGCCAATTGAAATATAGGAATTTTTCCAATTCCGTCAAAATAGTTCGGTGTAAACATTTTGTAGATAAAAAGGGAAATAATTATTAATTATTGTTTCACAAAATACAATTATTTTAAGAATGTACTTTAGGTTTTTATATATTCACAAAAATGTTTAAAATTTGTTTATTTGAAACACTAGAAAAGTCAGAACAGGTCAGGTCACGTTAGGTCAAGTAAGGTCAGGTGCATGAAAGACACAAGAAATAAATTTTATAACAAATAGTATAACAAAAAAAATTACAAATGGCGTTTTGTTTTTACTTTTTTCACATACTTTTTCCATTCCCACTCAACAGAAGAACATAATTAGCCCCGCCCACCCACCCTGCCGTCATTTCAGTGATTGATTTTATCCGATATGAATGAAATTAATTATCTTATATTGAAAAGAAATAAAATTAGTCCTTAGAACGAGAAGAGGGGGGGCGGTGGGTGGGTGGAGCTAGTATTTGCTAAGATGAGACTGATTTTGGCAAATCACATACCCTCCAAGAAAATAGAGGGTGAGTGGGCGGGGCTAGTATTTGATAAGATAAATCTGATTTTGGCAAATCACGTATCCTCCAAGAAAATACAGGGTGGGTGGGCGGGGCTAGTATTTAATTAGATAAAACTGACATTTTCGACCATTTTTCAACTATTTTCTAAAATTAGTTAGACATTTTCTCGTAGATTTCGATATCCAGAAGTCATTTTTTGCTTCATTTCTGCGGAAATTCCTACCGTTTTTCCAAAAAGGCAAATTGAAATATAGCAATTTTTACAGTTCCGTCAAAATAGCTCGGTATAAAAATTTATTTATTTTTATATATTCACAGAAATGTTCAAAATTTGTTTATTTGAGACATTAGAAAAGTCAGAATAAGTTAGGTCACGTTAGGTCAAGTCAGGTCAGGTGCATGAAATAAGAAATAAATTTTATAGCAAATAGTGTAACAAAAAAATACGATTGTTTTTTTTTTACTTTTTTCACATTCTTTTTCCACTCCCACTCAACAGAAGAACATAATTAGCCCCGCCCACCCACCCTGTCTCCTATTCAGTGATTGATTTTATCCGATATAAATGAAATTAATTATCTTATATTGAAACAAAATAAAATTAGTCGTTAGAATGAGAAGAGGGGGGGTGGCGGGGCTAGTACTTGCTACGATGAGCCTGATTTTGGCAAATTACATACCTTCCAAGAAAATAGACGGTGGGTGGGCGGGGCTAGTATTTGACAAGATAAAACTGATTTTGGCACTTTTAACATTTTCGACCATTTTCAACTATTTTCGAAAATTAGTTAGATTTTTTTCTTATAGATTTCGGTATCCATAAGTCATTTTTGGCTTCATTTCTGCGGAAATTTCTACCGTTTTTCCAAAATCGCCAATTGAAATATAGGAATTTTTACAGCTCCGTCAAACTAGCTCGGTATAAAAATTTATTTATTTTTAGATATTCACAGAAATGTTTAAAATTTGTTTATTTCAGACAACAGAAAAGTCAGAACAGGTCAGGTCACGTTAGGTTAGGTGCATGAAATAAGAAGTAATTTTTATAATAAATAGTATAACAAAAAAAAAAATACGAATGGCGTTTTTTACATTTTTTACATTCTTTTTTCACTCCGACTCAACAGAAGAACATAATTTGCCCCGCCCACCCACCCTGTCTCCGTTTCGGTGACTGAGTTTATCCGATCTGAATGAAATGAATTATCTTATACTGAAAAGAAATCAAATTAGTCGTTAGAATGAGAAAAGAGGGGTGGATGGGGCTAGTACTTGCTAAGATGAGACTAATTTTGGCAAATCACATACCTTCCAAGAAAATACAGGGTGGGTGGGCGGGGCTAGTATTTGATAAGATAAAACTGGTTTTGGCACTTTTGATATCCAGAAGTCATTTTCGGCTTCGCTGCTTCGAAAATTTCTATCGTTTTTCCAAAATCGCCAATTGAAATGTAGTAATTTTTACAGTTCCGTCAAAATAGCTCGATATAAAAATTTTGTATATAAAAAGGGAAATAATTATTAGTTTTTGTTTCACAAAATACAACTATTTTAAGAATACCCTTTTTGTATATTCATAGAAATGTTTAAAATTTGTTTATTTGAGACAATAGCAAAGTCAGAACAGGTCAGGTCACGTTAGGTCAAGTAGAGTCATGAATTAAAAGTAAATTTTACAGTAAATAGTAGAACAGAAAAATTACGATTGGCCTTTTTTTTTTAGTTAACATAATTAGCCCCGCCCACCCACCCTGTCCCCATTTTAGTGATTGATTTTATCTGATCTGAATGAACTTGCTAAGGTAAGACTGATTTAGGTAAATCACATACCCTTCAAGAAAATAGAGGGTGGGTGGGCGGGGCTAGTGCTTTTTTACTTAATTCAGTACACAGAGCAACAATCTGCATTATGTAATATTTAAAATGTAAATAAATAAATAAAGACTACCCATTTGAACAAGATAAGAATGATTTTGGCAAATCACATATCCTCCAAGATTATAGAGGGTGGGTGGGCGGGGTTACTTTTTGCCAAGATAAGACTTATACAATCTACATCATAAAGATTTTTTTTAGGACTCCGTATATACCGTACTGAGGAGTTAATCCGCCATTTTCCAGACACCCGGTATAGGGAGCACAAATGTGGTCATATTTGGTTTTTTCGGAAATGACATGTCCTTTGGCTAGAATGTATTTTTTTTAGTGTCAACTGGAATATTTTTTATTTTTACAAAGAACAAATTTTTTAAGCGTGGGATGTCAATTTATGCAAAAAATCCATAAAATGTATGTATCACAGTAGTGTCGGAATTGCCAGGAATGACATCGATTTTTTTTTACTGGAATGGAGTATGTTTTTAAAGTATTTCATTTTACATTTCATTTACATACGTACGTAATTTACATTTTTATTTATTAAATGAATTATGCATTTCCACTTTATTTTTTCCATATCGCATTCTATTTAAAACAACAAAGTTGGTCTCATTTACAGAAAAACCGGCAATTAATTAATCGCTCCAAAACATTTATCTTTCCAAGGATCGACACGTCAGAACGGAAGCGGTTAATTGTTTAAGGATTAACCAAATAACACACGTTAAGTGTTGCATCACTAAAAAAAATAAAGAAAAAAATCAAATAACCGAGAAGTGATTGGTTAAAGTGACACGACTGTGATGACTTCCCGCAGTATTCCCACTCTACACTCCATCAAGCTGTCAACGTAATTTGAGGTTAAAACCGCAATTTTTTACGGAAATGTCACTTAGTAAGTCATATGTCAAGTTGACAAATAACTTAACCCAGAAATCGGTTGACAACATGACATTTCTGGGTCATCGAAAATGTAAAATGTCAAAAATATAAATGAAAATTGACTAAAACTTCAACTTAATCTTCTTAAAATGATACTATGAGAACTAGATACATTTTTTTAGAAACAAAATTATCTGAATATGTATTTTTTTTTAATCTTGTAACTTCAAATTAAAACTAAAAAAGTTTGCCTAGAACTTAGTTACACACGAAATAATTAAATGCGACGTTTAAATACAGGTAAGAATGAATAACGCCCCTACCTTCAAATTTTCGGTGTCCCGTTCTTCTTCGGCGGCAGCCTCTCGTTCTTGTTTCTTCTTGAGGAAGTCTTCATAGTCGGGCTTTTCTATGCCCAACAATTCGGCTCTCATGCACTCATATTCGTACGTGCCCTCCGCCATCGTCGTCACCTACATGTGCTCGCTGGCACTCGTATTGATTAAGTCAGAGGGCGCTGCGGTCCATGTGGGTGTTTGAAAAAAGCCAAATGTCAAACTGATATTTAATTTATTTCAACAAAATAACAAATTACTATTTGAAAATACAAACTAAAAAATCGACAGTGTACACATATTTTGGAAGCATTTTTTTGTCCTCTCATAGTGTGTAGAAAAATCATCAGTTCGTCTCGTCCGGACGTGAAAGCGTTAAAGACTTAAATTACTTCGTAAAAACAGAAGATTAAAAAAGGAGAAAATTCACAAGTATTTACAACTTTGTTTAATCCCTTACGCGCTATGTTATATTTATATTAAATTTGGGTTTATTTACATTTCCAAAAAATATACAGAAAATACACTTATGAAAAGAAGGTAAATAAGCGACAAACCCGAACTGATTGAACGAAACACATCCATTGCACGAACAGCAAAGAAACACAAACACTGAAATGAAGTTAGTTGGAAATGCAAAAAACTGGACATCGCATACCGTCGTATCTCGACTCACATAAATATCAAATTTTGAGGTTATGCAATAGATCGAACTATTCCCTAGCTTACACTTAACCTTAATGTTTACAGTTGTATTTACAGTAAAGTAAAACTGTTATCTACAATTAAAATAATCATGAATTAAAAAAGAAACTAAAATGGACGCTAACCGACCCGGTGAGCCGGGCCGAGAGTCATTACATTTAACACTAGCCTAACCTATTTATCACTTATCGATATATACAGACAAAGCTCCGTTACACTAATCCTCGTCGGACAAGGGTTCGTACTGCGCCGACAGCAACGGCTTCGGCTCGTTACTCCTTGAACTATCGTTGGCAGTGCTCTCTTTATGAACATAAGGAAAACCGAATCCTTGTTGCTGTTGCTGCTGCTGCTCCTCGTGCTTCTCTTCGTCGATCACCATCTCCCCCGGACTGTCGCTCCGCTCCTTCTCCTGGCTCTCCTGCGCGTCCTTCTTGTCGTCCTCCGTCCTCATCACCTCCACTATCCTGTTCTTCACGTAGTCCAACGGCGAAATGTGTTGATTCTGCTGCGGCTGCGGCTGCTGGTACCTCCTGAAATTCTGCTCCGCACTCCAATGATTATCCGGGGGCGACACCGGCTCCACGTGGTACTTCTGCGGCTGCGCAATCCTAATAATCTGCCTCTCGTCCTGCTGGGGCGTCACCGCCCTCTTGTCCTCCTTCTGCTGGTGCAACCGCCGCTTCCACTGCTCATTAACGTTATCCACGTGATAATAATTCGGCCCCCGCGAACCAAAGTCGTGACTGATCACCGAATCCGTCAGCTCCTTCACCGTCAGGTTCTTGTTCACAGTTTCCGCCTCCAGGTCTATACTGATCACCGACGACGGTCGCTCCCCGTTGTTGTCCTGCTGCGCCAACGCAGGCAAGCCCTGGAACAGCAAGTCTCCAGCTCGCGTCTCCCGCGCCGCCGTCACCATCTCCCGCCCCCCTTCGCTCGTCTGGTTGATCTGGTGCGTGATGATGGCGTCGATCAAACTCGCCGCCGTCAGCGACGTGGAGCTTTCGCGCGACTGCCTCGTTTGCTGCTGCTGGTACACGATCCTGCGCTGCTGCTCCTCCATCCGCTGCTGCTGCTGCTGCCTCATCTGCTGGTGCTGCTGGATGATCTGGAAGCGGTGCGGCTGCTCCATGATGTTGTCGGCCATCGTCTTCCCCAAGCCCTCGTGAGGGGCGTTCGGCACCGGGAGACTCGGCTGCTGCACCGCCACGTCCACTAAACTCGACAACGCCTCGTGGCCTGGCGGCAGATAGGGTCTGGTGTGTCGCTGGATCACGCCTTGCCGCTGTTGGTTCTGCTGGCTCACCGGGGGCGGCGTCCTGTGCGGGCTACTCGTCGGGTAGTAGCCCGCTTTCTCGTTCCGCCGCCCCAGCATCTGCTGGCTCGTTATATAGTCGTTCATGATGATCTGCCTTGAACTAAGCTGCTGTTCCACGGTGAAACTCTGTTGCCTGTATTGAGGGTACGCTCCAGGCTGCGGCGAATTCTGGGGGACGCCGCGCTTGTTGAAGTAGTCGTAGACGCGTTTTTCCTGCATGTGGGGCATGTGGATGGGGGTGCCTTGTGTGATGGAGCCCATCTTCGTCTCGGGCGTCATCTGGCGAAGGAGGCCCTCGTAGCGCGGCTGCTGGTTGATGATGGGGGTGCCGAGGGTGATGGAGCCGGATTTGGGGTTGGCGGGTTTGGGGCTGGGGAGTTTGGGCTGGGACCGGATGGGGAAGGGACTTTTGCGTTCTTGGTGGTAGGGGAGGTACTCGCGGTGGATTTGCTGAGGGGGGTGTTGTTTGTGGGCGGGGGGCGGGGGCTCGCGCGGTTTCTTGATGCTGAGGTCGAGGGTCTCGGGCTCGCGGGAGTCCTGTACGGAGAGGACGACGAGATCGTTTCTGGAAAGAGAGAATTTGTGAGGAGTTTGGTATTGTGAGGAATTTCTAGATCAGTGGTTCCCAATTTTTTCAAAGCAACATTTTTTTTTAATTTTTACTTCCTGAGCGTAAGCTAAGTAAGTATTGTACTTCTATGTTTTCTTGACGTTTGATGACTCCCTAAAGTACGAAGAAATAGGTTTCTCGTTTTCGTCTGTCTATCTGTCTGTCTGTCCGTCTGTCCGGATCTTTATTAGACTTACAATCTACGAAACTACTGGACCAACTGTCGTCAATTTTTTTTTTAGAAAATATTATTTCAATTTTATAAAATAAGATGCTCCTTTACATGTGGTTTATCAATCCATGTTCAGTTTTTACCCTAGACATCCAGCTTTTTGGGAAAAAAATCAAAATTTTATAACGACATTCTGCAATTCAACTTTGAAACTGCTCTGAAATCTTGCAAACGTTTTAAAGCTATCGTAAGCATGGTAAATCGTTAATCAATTTTTTTTTTGTTTATGTTCTCATAAAAAATGATGACGTCATTTTACAAAAATTGATGAATATGTGTTCCTTAAATTTGATTGAATTACATACTCTTGCTTGTATGATTTAAGAATCCGTGTTGAGTTTTTACCCTAGACATCCATATTTTGGGGGAAAAATTCAAAATTGTATTTTACAATTTAACTATGAAACTGCAAAATCGAATGTTCTGAAATCTTGCAAACGTTTTAAGGTTATCGTAAGCATGGTCAATCTTTAATCAAAATCTATTCGTTTATCGCCTCTACAAAACATGATTATGTTAATGAGTGTGGTTAATTAATTGATCAGTCCTTTTTTCTGAGTTGAGGAGACAACATCAAATCTCATTTCATTTCAACCGCTGATGTTTGTAATCTAAACGTGCTAATATTTGAA